GTGAGTAACAAAGTCAACATTCTCAGATTTGAGTCAGATCTCTTAGATTGTCTTAGACACAAAACAGGAATTGTTTAGGAGAACAAGATTTTTGTTATTATTCTCCCCCCTTTTATAACCTACTTGTCTTAAGAGTAAATCAGCTTTTGTTATTTGTGTTCTAGGTTTGTAGGTTAGTACAAAGTTATAGTCTTACAGTTCTAACATTTAGTAGGCTTAGTAGTAGTTGAGCTTCTGAGACACCTGGAAGTACTAGAGATTAAGGTGATTACTCTAAATCTTAAACTTCTGTACAATACTAAGAAGATATTAACACTACTCCTTTAGGGAACAGACAATTGTAAAGAGTTCCTTATTATAGATAGAGTAGTTCTGTTCTATTACAGATAGGGATTCTAATCAGAACACTATTAGACACTACTTTCTGTTAATAAACTAGGACAGTACTACTCTATTTGTAAAGTTAGAAGAGTTAACTTTAACTCAGAACTTGTCTACAACTGTCAGAACTACTAATACAAGCTTACTAGTAATGACCTACTTAAGGGACTCAAATACAGACTACTACTAATCATCCTATTACTAAGGAACATCTTTACTAGTGAGATTGTGAAGGGGTTAGACAATAGTACTAAAGTCTTAAATAAAGTATTAGTAGTAGTTTGTAAACTCAAGAAATGCTTAGACCTGTTTTAGGTTCTAAAGTTGTAATCAGTTCCAAACTGTAGTTACCTTTACTGAATCTATACAGACCTCTCCTCTACTAATTACAAAGCCTAGATAATCTACTGACTCCTATACAAAAGAGTACTTTACTTCTTAGAGGAACAGTTTATTATCTTAGAGCTATTATAGAACTGCTTGAATTAGTTAGTAATAGTGCTCAACTGTCTAAGTGAAGATTAGAATGTTGTTCAGATACACACTAACATGCTCTAAGTTAATCAGATCTGTAAGGATGTGATTCATGAATGACTAGAATGTTGTAAGTGAGTTAGTTAGTCTAAAGAACATTATAGTCAGTTTATACAATCTACAATTAGTTTAGAATGTAACCTTCTACTCATCTCTGTCTTAGATCCAAATATTATTGTATCCTTATTAAACATCCAACTTAGTAAAAACTCTAAATGTATGTGTCTTATTAATGAGCTCCTGAATCAGAGGGAGTAAGTACTTGTTTTTGACAGTACTCTCATTAAGACAATAATAATCCTGAACTAGACAGAGCTTTCTATCTTTCTTTTTGACAAAGAAGAAAGGGGAGACTATAAGAGACTTTAAGGGTCAGATCTAACTGTTCTAAAGATTTTCCTAAAGGAACTTGTCAAGCACCTCCTACTTGTCTCTGTTGAGTAGGTAGACCTTACAATCCTTAAGTTAGAAACTCTTGGTCAATTTAATTACATAATCTTAGAGACAGTATTTAGGAAGCTGGTTAAATTCCTCTTTACTAAAGACTTTAGAGAACTCTCAGACAAAATCTAGTAGGTTAGGTCTATGTGTATTCTAGAGTAGAGTTGTTCTAAAAGGGTTTCAGACTGGTTCTGTCTTAGACATCCTTCAGATTGACTCTGTTCTACCTTGACTAGAATATGTATCTACATATTTATCCTAATTAAAGAAGAACAACTAGTCACCTTTATTAAAACTGTTAGTAATATTAGAAGTGTTTGTATCTACTTAGAATAGTAGTACAAGGTAGTTGTAAGACTCAGAACACTGATTGAACACAAGTGTTTACTCTAACTAGTTAATAGTAGGGTTGTAAGCCTTAAACTATTTGAATCTAATAAAAATGTCTGTCTTTCTAAGGTTAGTAACTCTGAACTCAATACTTTCCTTATAATCCTAAATAGTTATCTGTAGTTGGACAAACTCAGTAATCTGACTATTCTGATTTAGGGTTCTGTCTATATTGTATACTAGGATTAGAAGTAGAATGTATTAAGTAGGAAGGTAGTGTTCCTACATAAAGGCTTTATTAATGTACAAACTAGTACATTCACTATCTACTAGAGCTATTGTTCAGATCTGGGAGGATCCTAAGAAGGGAGCTAAGAGTATAGAGACCTAGAGTTAGTACCTAGAACATTCTCTAATAAACTACTACTTGTTCTAAAGGGAATGTACAGCTTGTACAGTCTTATTATCTGAGAGAGTAAGTATATACACTAACATTTCCTTATTAACCTCTCTCTTTCAACAAGGACAGACTCATGTCCTCAGCTGTGAACTCAGCTAAGACTATCCTTACTTAATATTATAGACAAACTACTAAGTAGTAAACAGGGCTAGGTAGAGTTCTGAATGTTCTAAGATCTTAAAACACAGAAGTAGTAGGTCAGATTGTACAGATTTAGACTTAGATAAAGTGTAAAGAGAAGAATCAAAAGAATCAGAAGAAATAGGAGAACTATCTACTTTTGTTTTTGACTTTTTTCTTTCTAATAAATAATTTTGTTGATTTATTTTTTCTACTTTTTCTACTTTTTCTACTTTTTCTACTTTTTCTACTTTTCTTACTTTATTTACTTCTAATCCTACAGTGTCTATTGAATCAAAAGTAGCTATTAAAAAATCTGAGTTATAGCTCTTTAGTACTACATTTACTATTAAGCCTCTATAAAATTCTAGAGTATATAGTTAGAGTCTAAGAGTTCTAAGGTGACTTCTAGATTTGTAGAAAAGGCTTCTTACTACAAATCCTACTTGTCACTCATTATCACTCTAATAACCTGACAAATATACTGTCACTTCTATAAACAGTTCTTAATCTAGTACTCTGACTTTCTGTAGACAAAGTATGCTCCTTACTTTCAGACTTCTCTAATGTCTATCAGAATAGATTGATTGTAAATTACAGGTAGATTGATCTAAGGACTCAGAACTGTTAGAGCTGAATGTATGTACAAGTGTTCTGTACAGACTTAACACATCCAAGTTATAGCTTAGTTGAAGGAAATAGTGTATGTCTTCTACTCAGTATAAGTAACCAGTTCTAACATTATTCTAAGAATCTTATTAACTAGTTCTAGGTGAAGAGCTTTTTCAAGCATTCTAATAAGAACATTATCAAACCTGAGTACAAATCCTACCTTCTAGGCTAGGATATCAAACTCCTGAAAGAAGGTATTAGTAGAATGTTTACCCTGTTACAGAGACACAAGCTTGTTCTACACATTGTGCTTCTCATTTAGATTGATGAAGGAAGTACAGAGCTGTCCTATGAATTCTAAATACAACTCATTATTCTGAAGTCAGATTAGACTTCTGATCCAATGTTCTTTGATTCAGTTCTGAGCTTAGGTGGTTATGTTACCTTCCTTCATAAAGGAGAGGACAAATAGGACACAATTGAGATCTAAGAATAGATTGGTTAAAGTAGTAGTCACATATAGTTTGACTTAGTACTAGAAGTCCTTAAAGTGCTACCTATTAAAGTCTAAAGGGTAGGCTACATACACTTTCTTTCTAGAACAGGTTACAACTTTCAGAACAATTAGAACAGGTTCTGAAGGGGCTAGAAGCATGTGATTAGTAAAGGCCTCTTAGATAGAGGTTTACACATATTAAACTAGTTCTACTTGTAACTACTAATCTGACAGGACAGTAAGAGTAGTAGTCAGTGTAGGAGGGTCTATGTTTACACTACAAAGGAATTGGCACTAAACTAAAAGGGGTAACAAATAGAAGAAGGGTGGTAAAAGTTTAAAAGGGTTTAGAAAGTTTAAAATTTAAAAATGTAAAAGGGTTAGGACAAAGAAAAGAGATTAACATAATAGTGAGTACTAATACTTAAAATGTAGGAGAGTTGTAGGGTAGTAATAGGTAGTCTTAATCTAATGTCAGCAACAGTATAGAGGGGACCTGAAGGCTCTACAAGGGGACCCAGGCTACAACTATCTTACACAACAGAAATACAGAATGTAAGTACTAGAACATAGTCAGAACTTGTGGAACAGGCAGAGAGAGAGAGAGTGAGACAAGAGTAGAGTATATAGAGTGAGCCTAAGAATACAGGACTACCTAGAGTAGACAAGATCAAGACTACAGGACCAGTCTGATCTTGTACACCTATATATACTAAACTACACAAGAGCACTCAGGGAGCATGAGCCACTAAGAATGATAAGCTATAAAGAATGAAAGAAAGAAAGGTCAAAGATAAAGGTACAAAGAATGAAGGGATGGACAAAGGGTAAGAGACCATAGAATGAACAAAGAATGAAGGGGTGGTCAAAGGAATGGAATAATGAAGTAAGGAAGGGTAGTAGCAAGAGTCAGCACACATATAGTCCATAGACAGCACCCCTGAGGGATGGAAGTCCTGAGTTCTGGTATGGAAGGGTGCAGAACCCTTGGAACTGAAAGTACGAGAGCAGAGAACCGTAACAGATAGCTTGATTCTGCTCAAAGTCGAAGGACCAAAACTCAAATCTGTCCTGGTCTAAACATATCCAGGGATCTCGAAGCCATGTCTATCATTCTGTATGAGACAAGGCTATAATTGCTGTGAGAGCCTTTAGCGAGATCATCCCAGCAACATTGCCACCTATTCACCCAACAACACACGTCTGACACAGACCAGCTTTTTGTTAACCAAAATAAAACTTATCCCTGTTCCACGGTCACTAACTGATAGCTAGAGATCGTACAAGTATACGAATGCAGATAACGTTAAATAACGTTATATCGTTTACAACAAGACCAATAAAAAAGCCTAGTCCACAACAACAGCAGGAAGAAAGTAAGAAAACCATTATAGGCGTACATCACGACGAAAATCCAGACAGCGAGAATAAACAAATAAAATCAATGCGTGGCTATTATACTTGCAGAGTTGGGTTATCATTGTAGGATTCCGTCTCTTTCTAGATTTCGGAATGTCTACTGTCAGCGGAGCTGTTCACTAGCTGGATTCATAGAACGTACTGGTTTATTGTTCGAAAGGTCCTTCGTACTCTCACTTTCTCCAAGTTCAATCGACCCATCGCGTCCTAACGACGAATGAGGGTGCCGATTAAACTGTAATCGTACACGGCCAAAGGTATTCGTCTGACTCGAAGCTCCCCGTGAGGCTGTGTAGCTGTCAGTGGTCATCATCGTACGACCGCCGAGAGAAGTAATTCCCAATCCGATTCGCACGATGATCATCGAGAATACAAGGCCCTGTTTTTAAAGATGCGGTGGGTTATTCGAGATGACGGGTTAGTGTGTATCAGTGGAGACAAGAATGTTACGGCACTGACAACGATGGGAGAAATCTATGTATATTGAGTATTAATAACAATATGTGTCAGTTATCTTGACAGTCCGAATCGGACGATGGCGGAGGGAAGGCGGAACTTACAGCATCTAATAGAACATATTGGAACCAGGATCCAGCTTTGTACAAGATGAGAAGGGCGAGTAACGTCGCGGAGTAGACGGCACCCGATTCAATGACGAGAATAATAATTGGTTTATAGCTGTGCGCTGCGAAGCTCATAATTGATCGGTTTAGCAACCAAATTCGTGCTGCGACGAGTGCTGGGAACGGGTACCATTAGACTACGATACAACGTAACGCCAGATAGTCTCTTACCAGTGCATATTATATTCGTGGTGAGTGTTAGCGAAAAGAATGAGACGATCCAGTCTTGAAGCTCGGTAACGAAGATCTCGGCCTCGGGGACAACCTTTGCAAACGAATATAGAATGCCAACCCCACATGCTATCACAACGTCATCCAGCTATCAAAAGCGGACTTTGCCGGAGCCGAGCAGTTACTTACTTGTGCTACCAAGGAGAAGTACAAACGGAAACGCGATCACTATGAGTCTGCGTTCCCAGACCAGGTAGCACCGATATAACTGTGCATAGCCCAGATTAGATTGGAAGATGTCATCCGAAATCCGTACGACGTACGACAACACTGTCTCCGACTAAGGTTTGTGCGACGTAGATAGTGCTACCAAAGATCTGCGTGAATTCGGAAAGCTGGTTGAAGAACGCCGCCGGTCCCCCGGGCTCGTTTCTAAATTCGATGAATGCCTTGATAATTCTGGTATAGTTGACCCCGATATGCTAGATAGGCAGATTCGTGTGTCAGTATTGCGGGCTTGCGCATAAACAATTGTAGCGCGCACCATGGTTGCGAGCACGAACATAACGATGGAAATGGTGAGCATCGTCGTGTTGAGGGGCTCCCGTGGCGGACGTTTGTAGACAAGCACCCATACTGTTGCTGTTCAGAGAACTATATTGGGAAATAAACCATGGAACACCCTACCTGTCAGAGCAAACACGACAACATACGCCCCTGAAGGATGCACGAAGTCAGCTAAGCGTACAGTCATGCGTTAACCGCGCCGTCGCTTACCGTATAGCAGAGTTTGGATGAAAATTGAGACAAGCTTGGACTACATAATGGATGGCGTCAGCAAAGTAATTTGAAAGGAAATTTTACGGCTGACCTCGTCTGCAGGGAAGGCCATCCTACCTGGTCATAGGGAGGTGCAAGGAAGGTGCGATTACACAAGGGGATAGAAAGTCATGAGGCGAATGGTGTGGGCGGTTTTGTATGATGCAACGGGAGTTAAAAGGTTTGAATACAGTCCAATTAATCTCAAATTGGGGTTCCAAGACAATGCTGTTACGGCGTACAAAGTGTAATGCTCCGATTTCTCTATCGCACGCGGAAGAACCCCACTGGACAGTGCCCATCAATCAACGAAGCATGGCATGAGACGGGAAAACGAAGCGCTGCGAGAGTTAAAAGACAAGAACGGGAATCGAGTTGGCCCGAGGGGGGCGGAAGGAAAATATGGTAACTCGACTGCCGTGCGTGGAGCTCTCTGGTTTGTGTGCTCGTGTGGGAAGACGCAAACACTGCTTCTAGCACTGGCAAGTGGCACGCTGGCCGCTTGAGCGCGCAGCATGGGCCGTTGGCAGCCGTGCAATTCATGCACGAATAAGGGTCGATTACGGGACGAACGGAAGCTAATCGGTCAACTCTCTTTTTGTTTCCGAAGATTCAGGGTCGTGAGACCGCGTGAGGGTACGATGCCAATTGATTTCCTTGTGCTACTGGATCTCCTCGGACTCTGGTCACATTTTTTGTTGATAGGAGTGCCGCGTGCGACAGTCGCAGGCACGTGAACTCTACTGTGTTTTTTTTGCCGTCATCGGCCTTTTCTCTGCAGATTTGGAAATATTAAGCTTATGTAATACAAAGGATTTACAGGCACTGTTCCTCTCTATCATTCGTTAATCTTGACTTTTCACTTTGTCTTGTGTCCCTACTTGCCGAGTACTCATAAGCATGATCTCGTCAAGACGCTTCGTTCTAAACGACGGCTTATCCATCCCCGCGGTTGGAGTAGGGTCAGTCTCAGACTCTCAGCATATTAATCAATCAATGCGCCTCAAATCTGTCAACCTCTTCTTTTTCCATTCCATTTCAATTGATGTAGATGCTGGATGGGTGCAGTTGGAGAAGGCGAGCATGTAACTGAGATGGTTAAGAATGCTCTTCTCATCGGTTACCGCCACATCGATACTGTGATATGAAAACTTTCACTACATGTGCGATTGCTCATATTAACGTTCATATCTCAGGCGGCAAACTATGGTACGCAAAGTAAAAATCTCAGGTTCGGTCTCATGATCATAGCATTCGGCCGTAGGCAATGAAGTTTCCGTTGGCAAGGCACTCAAACGGACTAACGTCCCGCGCGCGGACGTTTTTATAACAACGAAACTCGAGTTCGTACCTCAGGTATCTTTATAATATTCACATTCTCTGAAATGGACACAGTTCAAAGGATCATGGCCGCGTTCAAGAAGCCTTGGATACCAGTTTGCAAAAACTCGGGCTTGATTATGTCAACCTATATCTGATGCACTGGCCTCTTGCCGTCACAGAGACGGGCAAGTGCACAGGATTTTCCGAACACAGTTCACGGACTTATTCGGTTTTTAGGTCAAGTCTTACAACCTGGAGAAAGCCCGACCTTCGTTGAAACATGGAAGCAGATGGAACAGCTTGTTGCGACGGGTACTTCTCGAAGTCGTCTCTTTTTGTTCGAGAATATGCTATTCAACAGTGACCTCCTGCAGGCAAAGCAAGAAGTATTGGAGTATCAAATTTCAGTATCAAGACCCTTACAACTTTGCTTGAACACGCGAGCATCGTCCCAGCCGTGAACCAAGTAGAGCTGCATCCTTGCCTTCCTCAGCATGACCTATTTGAATTCTGTAACTCTCACAAAATCCACCTCACTGCGTACTCTCCTCTTGGGAAACACAAATTCGCCTCGGATCCATCAATTGTCGAGATTGGACATGCACATGGAGTCACGGGCGCTCAGGTTTTACTCAGCTGGGCAGTGCAAAGGGGAACTTCTATCGTTCCAAAAACTTTGAATGAAGAAAGATTGAAAGAAAATGTATCTGTAAGATGTCCATTTTTATCGTTCCTTTCGACCGTTTCTAAAGTATCCGCGTTAACCCTATCCACGCAGCTCATCAATCTGGGCCCAGAAGAGATGGCGACTCTGGATCTGTTTCACAAGAAGCCCGGAATGCATCACAGCGTGTGTGGCTTCCACTCGGCAGAACTAGGAGGTTCTTGCTTCGGATGGACGTACGAACAGCTTGGCTGGCATATGACTCTAGGCGGCATCGTCCCCAGCTGACGGACAGCATCATGATGTAATCATAAACCTTAAATCTATTATTTGTACATGCATATATCAAGTAACTAGTTTGCGCAATGGTACAGTCAGCGTCAAATTTCAAGACAAACCTTATCTTTTGCTGCCAGCATGTCAGCCAACGGCGACGCCTCAAAGCCCCCGACAATTCTTGAAAAAATCTACGCACAGCGACAGAAAGATGTAGAGCAATCCAAAGCGACTCCTGGCACTCGTCCGGATGAACTCAAAGCATACCTCGAGATGAACCTCGCGCCTCCACTCATTCCACTCGTCCCCCGTCTAAAATCAAACCCGTCGACATCTTCGGCGAACCCTTCGCTCTCTCTAATGGCCGAGATCAAACGCGCGAGCCCGTCGAAGGGTGAAATTGCGATGACGGTGAACCCGGCCAAGCAAGCGCTCATCTACGCGCAATCGGGTGCTTCGGTCATTTCGGTCTTAACCGAACCTACGTGGTTTAAAGGCTCCTTGCTTGATATGCGGCTTGTACGACAAGCGGTGGACACGTTACCAAACCGACCTGCGATCCTTAGGAAGGAGTTTATCTTTGATGAATACCAAATTGCGGAAGCGAGGCTACATGGAGCGGACACCGTACTTCTGATCGTGGCAATGTTGACGCAGGAACAGTTGAAGAGGCTTTACGACTATTCTGTTTCGTTGGGCATGGAACCACTTGTGGAGGTGAACAATCCGAGCGAGATGGCGAGGGCATTAGAACTGGGTGCGAAAGTGATCGGAGTGAATAACAGGAACTTGCACGACTTTAACGTGGATTTGGGAACGACAAGCCGGTTGGTGGATATGGTGCGGGAGAAGGATATCGTTCTGTGTGCGCTGAGCGGTATTTCAGGCCCGAAGGATATCAGGGTATATAAAGAACAAGGTGTTAATGCAGTGTTGGTAGGTGAGGCACTTATGCGGGCTGCAGACACGGGAGTATTCATTAGAGAGCTACTTGAGTGGCCATCGACCTAAAGCCTACAACAGGAGGTATCTGCTGCCTAATGTTGCCAGTTGTGGTTGTACAAAGACATGTTGTTTTGCATAACACTCGTATGTTTGAAATAAATGATAGACTGTATATTTTATGGGTAGTTGACTTGAGGGTTTGTATAAGCTGGACTTCTAGTTAATGCAAAATGCCTCAAAATTATAAGGCAATTCCCGACCCCTCCGAGACTGGTCAGTTCTGACGTCTGATTCATTCATAGTGACCTGCATCTCTCCGAGTAGTTTGTGTCTGAATGAGTTACCTAAACGAATCCACTTGCCAACTCTTCATTGCCTTTGCTAACAGCTTCGAACTAAAGGCTGAGAAGGAATTGGGAGTAAGACATATACGACAAGAGGTTTCCGAAGTAAGTTGCAGCAGGCCCAGGGTCTCAGGTTACCTCAACAACAACATTCTACGTTGCATGTGCAAAGTAGGAAACACCGTGAGACGTCTCGGAGGGATAACCAAAATCCAACAATAATTAATTCTCGCCTATGAAGCACAAAGGTTGTCTGTATTGGTAGATACACAAAATACTAATCAACTGAGACGGAAATCAGGTACCGTAGACCTTACACACCAATTTAGCGATACATAATAATCCTTACAATTTTGCTTTCCCATTCTTCATCGTTGTCTCCGAGTTTCGATGCATGCTCGCTAGCATCAAGCGTACGCCCAGATCATCTAGAATCTCTTCGCTTCCACCTCCAACGACCCACACTCGCATATCCCTGCTGATCTGTTCAACGACGGCTCCTACACCCTCGCGTGTCGTCCCAGCTCCTCCGAATATCTGTTGTGCCTCTCGAACGAGGAGCTCAAGAGCCTTAGCTATGATCAGCGTTTACTGTACAGTACAAATGTGTAACGAAAAACACCAACTCTTCCCGCTTGGACTTTTAGCAACGCGATCCGGTATGCTATTTGAGAGTCGGCAAATGCTGCTGGATAATCTTTCCCATTTGGACCTGCTGCGCGAGTGGCAAATTGCTCGATCTCCCAAACGATCGACTCGTACCACGCTCTCGCCGATTCCAGGGTTCGGACCATACCTGCAATCTTTGCTCGAATAACCTATGAAAGAAGAAGATTTACGACATGGATCTTAGGGTTTTCCAAACTAGTCTGACATACTTGGTTTTCGATGAGCGCCTTTCCAAATGTCTCTCGTCTCATTGCATGACTGAGGGAGTCAGAGAGACATGTTCGAGCAAGTACGATTGCCGTGCTCGATAGAGCAAGCCGCTCTGGATTGAAATTTCGCATCACCATACTAAATCCGGTGCCTACCTTCCCGATGATGTTTTTTCGCGGGACGCGGACATCTTTAAAGACAATCAAAGCAGTCCCAGATGATTTAAGTCCACTGACTGGTATCCAACGGATAGTAAGGCCCGCGGGACGTGAATCCGATGACGTCTTGAGAGGGACGATTAGCAATGATAGACTCGACGTATCTTTCGAATCGGACGTCCGGACGAGAGTAGTTGCATAGTCGGCAAATAGGCCGTTTGTTATCCACTTCTTGCGGCCATTCACGACGAGATAAGAAGCATCCGCGCTATCTACGAGAGCCGTCGTGGAAATGTTCGCTACATCTGAGCCAGCTGTATGATGCGATGATGAGCTAGTACTAGCAAAGAACCAGGTTTCAAGCATACCTCCAGGTTCCGTGATTGCTAGGCAGAAAGATATTTCACCCTTGTATACCCGTGGCAGATACTCCATGCGCTGTTCTTCACTTCCAAAATCGCGAATAGGAGGGCAACCAATGTTGTTTCCAGACGTGAGTGCCCAAATTGGTCCATTAGCAGGGGCTCTTGCAAGCTCTTCGTTAATCTTATAATAAACGGTTGGGTTAAATAAAGATTGATAAGTTTTTTTAAATAATGTTGAGGCCTTACCACCATCGAATGAAATAGGTCCCATTCTGTTTGTAGGGTTTTCGAAATGGTATACTACTTAACACTCGCATATTTTCTCACCGTCATCGTCAATGCCTATGGGCAAATTCGCTCCATTTCTGTATTTCCTCGGCACAAAAGGGAAGAGCAGCCCTTTTTGTGCCATACGATCATAGGCCTAATCGCGTGTTACAAGCAAGCAATGAACCCGGTTCAAGTAGAGACTGACCTCCTTCGGAACTTTACCTATAATTAATATAGACACTATTAGTACAGTATTCTGAGCAATAAAAAGCTTGACGCTGACCCTCGTCTTCCCATTTCTGTGTGTACGGGAAGATGTCGGCTTCGAGAAACGAACGTAGCCAGGCACGTAGGCGGTGGTGTGATTTTCGGTAAAATCTAATTGCGCGTCATTGTTTTTTTATGATATAGCATCGGTGGGACCATTACGACGAAGGGCATAACGTACAGAGAGTCTGAGGATGGCTCGTCTGGATATAACATAGCGGTTGCTTTTGCGCCTCTTAACTTTTAAGTCGTCTTGATCCATATACGGGCGCTAATTAGATACTCCTAGTACTTATTCAGTGAATAAGACGCAATTTTCCCCAACCATCCGGGTAGACGTTATTATGGTGACGAGTTATAGAACAGTCTGTTTTGAAACTCTCTAGCGGTTCAATCCAGGTGCGGAGACGAAGTTCGGCGAATCGGAATGATTCGCGCCCCTTGATGAATTATGTAATCCATGACTAAATGCACATTGCAAATCCTGCAGTCCGACACCATACCTCTTTTTCTTTTTCTTTTTCTTCCCTTGTATTTATCTCATGCGCACTCTGTGGTAAACTTGCTAGGAACTATTCACCGCGCCATCCAATGCCCAGAGGAGAGGCAAAACTGTATATAAAGTGATAAAATCCTCTTACATACGGTAGTATACACGTTGATCCATACATTTAACAGAAAAAAGGAAAGCATCCATGCAAAAATGTCAATTTCAACGCAGTCTCCCAAACGTCATCATGTGGCCAAGTTCCACGACTATCTTTCCTGACGCATAAAGCATCACCCCGGCACCAAAAACACCAGCACCAGCCAATGCCACCGGCGTGAATAAAAGGATACCGACCCCCTTTGCCAGACCCATCAACATGGTGTCCTTTTCGTCCCTTGCAACAAGCCTTGCAATGCGGCGTCCAGAACGCTGGGCACGAGCTCCTTCAAGGTCTCCAGCAGCTACACTTTCGGCACCGTCAAGAGCAATGGCTCCTTCATCTGCAGCAGTTCCATCATCATCATAGTGCATAGAACGGGAAAACTGCTCTGCACGACTGTCCCATTCTGCTTGAACGAGTGGATCAGGGTGAATAATTGCCAGACGGCGCATCCCCGCTAGAACAAGTTCTTCTAACACACGTGCCTCTCGAGCACTCTCATCTACCCCATGGTTACGGGGGCGAAGGCACTGGGGAGTGACACGAGATATTGTAGCGAGTCTGGATGTTCGCTTTCGAGCACGGCGTAGATCGGTCAAGTTTTCTTGAAGTTCTCTAAGCGTCTCGTACCACTCGGCTTCTGTAGCCGCCGATATTGCACGACTCCGGACACTGGCAGCGCATGAAGCCACCCCCACCGGGGCGACCGCCGGTTGTTGGACAAGAGTAGGCGCTGAGCTGTGCTTGTCCTCGTTAGAGAAGTAGGGATGCTGGTAGACTGGAGGCCCATCCAGTGTCTGAGTTTCTCCCATTCGGATGTCTCTAGGCTGGCCAGCAGCGTGTTCCTGCCCCTGATTAAGGAGTGGTGAGGTTTGACCTAAAGTAAATACACTGTTTAGACATGCTGTTCTTTTCGGGTGGTGTCAGCTCATACCAGGACTATCATCAAACGGATTAACCTGTTTGGCGTTGCTCATTGCAAAGGGCGTAATTCTGTGCTTGAACTGTAGACGTACAGAAAAGGTAGGTCTCCAGAGCAGGAGATTCTTGACATCCAAGGAGAGGACGACTAAAGTACCAGCGTCTCGACAACCGCAGCATTGAGCGCATCACTGCGGATAGACTGCGATCTCGAACGCGCAGCTCGCTAGACTGCATGTGACCGACAATTTGGGACGAAATTGGTCTTCTATCCCCGAGCGTGTCCTTAAAATCACAGGATAGGATATGAGAATGGTATTGTAACGTAAAACCGGGGCCGGCTCAAGTTGCTAACTTACTTTGCACGTCCAGTCGGATGATCGTTTGTCAATGGCGCTACGAAATGCAGACCAGCAAGTAACCCGCGGTAAGAGATCCATTTCCGTATTTACGAGAACTAAGTGAGAGACAGAGCTAAGCAGGAATAAGTCCCCTTAGTACTACAATATCAATGGTAGGACAGAATCCGGCAGACGATGTCTTAGCAGTGCTGGTGAGTCCTAGGACGGCTCCTCCGAATACAGCATTGGGGGTGGATTTCGTGCGTATTGAGTTTCCCTGATTCAAAAAGAGTGCTGATCGGAATATTCGGCACACAAAATGTAGCTTTCACGACCATTTACGTAGATATCATTTTATGAATGCGATGAGATGAAGTAGGCTCAATTCGGAGTTCTAAATCATCCGGAAACATCCGCGCATTGTAACTGATGTAATTGTAAAATTACTCTGGTGGAGACCTTCTTATTCTTTAATGCCTTCGATTCACAGGACGATGCTTGACGGGGGAGGGGAAGGAAGAGAGAATGACCCCACTTTGTGCTAGTCTGCTTTTGCTTCCTAGCTACATACACCGTGTGTGTCATGCCTAACAATAACATACAGGGTACATCATTCATTGCGAGCGCCTATCGGAGTTATTTGTATATGCTTTTCAGTTATGCGCATTGGCGATGTTCCGTCGGGACTTTCAGTGCCCGGAAGAAAGCCAATCCCTATATGGAAGCACGCCTTGTCGGAAAACGGCCTGTGCTATCTTCATACTAATCTTACGAGGCGACCTTTTGTTGTATGTTGTGTGTTCTAACGTCTTCAGGAAGTCCCCCTCGCTTGTCTCTGTTAGCTTTGGCAGCCGAGCAAAGTAGTTGGACCTTTACCTGGTTCTTCCTATTTACCCATGTCAGCGTGTGCGTTTGCATAATTATATGTGTATTAATGCTACTTATTGCTGTACGTATGCATTGTATCTTACATGCCAAGTTCTGCGCTGTTACCGGACATTGATATTTCTGGTCACCGAGGTAGTACCTACAGAAGAGCACCCACTATGTTTCTGGGCTGAGGACGAGCCACATACTGAGCGTTTCGCACCAGATTTCGCACCGGGTTTCGAGGATATACATTCAGTACATGTAATACTGGAAATTACGCATCGGCTTCCATACCAGCGCTTGGTGTATGTTCATGAAGAAACATGACATATCTGTAATTCAGGAAGCTGAACGTATCTGTTCCCTACCGGCGCTTAATGAATTATACATTTAGTGCAAACCTGGATTGCTTTAGAGTTTAATTAACAGGGCTTGCCTGCTATCTTGGTAAATTTCCGGCCTGTCGGAGGCGAACAATTATACGAAATTTTCTAAAGACAGTATCCTATCCTCTTGTGTGTTGTTACGAACTGCAGGAAAACGTGTTGGACGTACTACTCTTACTGTCGGGGAAGTTTACATGGAGTAGGTATTGATGAATATCTGATTCTTGCGCTCCTACATACGCCTCGGCACGAAGTGTCCCGCTCAATGCCTTGGCAGTTTAGCTCTCAGACTTAATGGGAAGAGGAACGGTTTCAAGGACATCCATTATCTATTGGATGTACACAAGCTACTCTATATCCGTACTTTAACGTCTAATATTTACTATAAATGATGGCACTACATAACATGCTTGCTTTTTGATCTCAGGTACACACGCACAGCATACGCAACGAAGGAACAATCAAAACATTCACAAGTCTTCCATTCCAGCGCCTAAGAGAGACGAGAAAGTAAGGGACTTTACCAGCACTTTGTGGAGCGTCCCTTTCCCGACAAATGGCCAAGAAGTTATTTTACTGTGCTAGCTGATATTAGGTGCTTATTAGCTCAGCAGGCAGTAATATAAATACCCTGCATCCTCTGGGCAAGACCTCCAAACCAACGCTCAATCCCAACCTAAATCACTCATAACTAGTACTCTTTACTTGCGCTTCTTGCATCATGTCTAGTGTTCAGGTCGAGCTCACCAACTGGGGTTCAGACATTATTAGTGTCACGTATGCTGAGCCCAGTGGGAACGTTTCAGCACCGTTTGTATGTCAAATGTTCTATGCATTCGAGTCTTTCATCATATTAGACATGTGGTACTGTTTTACTTACCTTTTTTCGTTTATTCAGCCCGTCGAGCCAAACAAGAAAGTATTCCGTAGGTTCAACACCGGAGACTCGATTAATTTCACATTCAAGAGGGGCACAAAGGAGGCGACAGAAAGGTATGCTGACCAGTGTTCAAATAAGGAAAATGGCGGACCAATTTCTTCTGTCATTACAGTAGGACCTTTACCTCGAACGCACAGCTCGACGTCAATAAATTCTTCAACTGAGGCAGTTCTCCGAGGCTAGTCTTTCACGTTCGTTTGTCATTATTACAGCAGCTAAAACTATCTTCTTGTAGGCTGTAAGGGACTCGTCAAATAGCCCTACTTGAAGATCAAGGAATGGAATAAGTTGAAATATAGGAATGTGTAGTCGAGAGTTTTGATGAATATATGTTAAAGAAATGTCACTGTTACAAGTTGAGAATTTCCGAGCCTATTTCTTTACGCCTGTGGAGGTACTTTAAGACTAAATACAAGAGTAAGTAGTTCTCGATTTCCCTATTGAATACTAGTAGCCGTCGACTTTGTCATATTCTGCTGTCCGAGACATCTGACTTCAGCATAATTTAAAGACCAGTAACCGGAGGGTTTAGCTCACAACTTGGAAGAAAGCCGTGGTGCCACTGCTAGTATTGCTGGACCAGAATATGTATGCAGTATTGCACCTCTTCCCATAAGCATCGATTTAGAATTATTGAGGCATGAGTGAGACTGGAAATTGGGACAAACATTATGCAGATTACCAAGTACGCACTTTTATTTAAGATCACTAACGAGGCGTTGATATTCTTGATAACGAAACGCAAGATTTGTTCAACAAAAAGGCACAATAAGGGTGGTGGATGAAGAAAACGTAATAGTTGCAGAGCTGTATATATACTAGTAGCAGTAGATTTGGGAGACTGGAGCACATTCGACAGGCAACATATATAATGACAAATAGAAGCGTTTCCATTGATCGCGCTGGAATAGACGCAAAACAATGCAGGATTGATGCATTCGAGTATACAAATAAACTCAAATACAGATTTACACGAGCCGTGCATGCGAAATTGTTACGTAATAGGACTTTCACTCAACGGCTGGCGCATTGGCGCAAAGTCATTCGTCACGTCCCCTCGGTACTTGTGATGAACAACTCATCAATGCCTCCAAGACCACTCTGCGTGTCTGTTTGCCACGAAAGAATAAGCCTCAGAACTGCACGAATCGAATTGCTTAACAATACCTGCTCACGGCTGATTGGCCGTTCACCAGCCTCAACCTCTGTTTGAAACTTGTCGTCTCGACCTTTGGGCGCCTGAGGTGCTGGCCTTCTCATCTCTTCTTTCATGACATTACGAGCCTTCGTGGCCCTCTCTATCTCTTTCTCAGCACTCATTTGAGCCTGATTCTTAATAATAGCTAGGGTATCGTGGATCATACCTTTGTCGGATCTGTTGATGTCGTTGGGGTGTAGCATCGTGGTAATCATGCTCTTGGCCCATGCTGTTATATGAGGGCGATTCACAAACATCATTGCGCCGAGCACAATCAATGCAATTGTCAACAGGGCCTTCAAAGAACTGGATACAAATCCTGGAAGCACTTGATAAGCGGTGCGGAAATGAACTTCGGGCATGAGAAGACTCGCCCATTTTGGCTCAAGATCACCTGCAAGATACTTTGTCTTGACGGCACGAGGATACCCTAGCCGCTACGTGCTTGTCTACAACTTCGAGTAGATGCAGGCCGTACTGCGAGAACGTGTGTCGGACGTGTTGTTGGAACGAGCGGCAAAGTCGCTAAAGGTTACTCCTCGAACGAGTATTTGTGTACGCGCTGGGCTCCAGCAAAGTGAAACTCCGAACTTGACACATTCTGACTTAGCAATTGTTGCCTCCATTAGACGCCTTTACCTGTGTATAGGGACAAAAGCATATTCGATAGATATGGGGGCAGTCTAGGACTATTCCAGCCTAGAAGAGCATATATTGTTATTTCTGACCGAACTCGAGGACCAAATCCAGGTGCTCTTTCTGGGCGCTTTCCGTAATAACTATCCGCTATGTCAGTGATACTGCACCAATTGTCATGTACGTTCTCTGCGGCACGAAAGCAGCGCTTGTAAACTGTATGTACGCTTTCTTGTTCGCTTCCAGTGACCTCACTCTCCTATCGCTTAGGAAAATATTTCGGTTCGCCAACAGAAGCGGACAGAATAACCTGTGAAATAACCCAGGCACTTCAGCGAGTTGAAGAGCCGAACCCTACAAAGCGGGATAGTCCATTCACTTTTAGGCGCTGGTATGGAAGGGCATATCCGACGCTACTACGTCGGGGAAGTGATGCTCCGACGCAACCGTCTGCGCCTCAGTGTAACATCTCCCGCAAAAGACACTCGTATCGAGCGCCGGTATGGAAGATAGTGCACTATTCCCGCATTACTTGTGCTGCGCATATGTATTCGAAATCGGATGTAACAAATTTAACTATGACAAATATCGAGCGATGGAGTTGAAGGTGATGTAGTGCTGCACACGTTTCTTCAAAGTTGGAAGTCACAATTGTCACTTATCGATATTCATAGCGGTCCTTCTTGATCCTCTTTCACCCTAATCCGCTGAACAGCTCAGTCCACAAAGCGAAACGTGTCAATTTAAACCGGGAAAGCTGTTAAACTAACTGCAGATGGGTCTCCATCCCCGGGCGGCTCTATGTAATCCCTTGTAAATGTGGTACTAAATCTGATCTTTCAATCCAAAAGACACTTGCGAATAACAGATCTGGTTTCGGATTACAGTTGAAAATATCTTATTGCATAACGTCGGGAGAGGCCTCAGACCTATGCAATATGAGCAATATGCATTATGGTAACCGTGAGAAAACATTACTTAATTAGGAACGCAAATTCGATATTACTTTTCAATTTATTTGAAGACATATACACTATGACAAGAAAATAAGCACATATTTAGAGCATCAAGAAAGACAACCAAGACAATGACAAGTGCAGTAAACATGTATATCACTGTAAAACTCAAGAAATAGTTTGTAATACAAGGAAATACAGTCAGAATCTGTAGAAACAAAAAGATAGAAAAAGCTAGTCAATACAAATAACTTTCCCCCACATATCATGAAGAGATCTTTGCTGCCCTATCTTGGTCTTGTGGCAGCATCGAAGACATTATGAAATGTCAATTGGAAACATTCTTTTTGTATTGAAGTATGTCAGAGAACAATATGTAAGGCTTCTGGGTACAAAAATCACAACAGTAAGCAGTCTAATTTCC